CCGCCGCTGCCAGGTCGCTCCCGAGGACCACACGAGTTGCCCGCAAGCCTGTTCTAAAAATAGCTCACTTGTGATTGGACACTGTGATTTCCGAAGAACGTTGCAGAAGTCATAATTTAAAAATGTTGAAAAAGCGCTTGCAGAGATTTACAAAGATGAAGCGGTGCATTCTGACCTCGTTAAAGGTTTGAACCTCAGTGTCTTAACTTCGAGAAACACGGTTAGTCATCCATCAGTACATTTTCTGTTGCACTCAGTCCCACTTCGGCTGCAGGATTCACGATGAATAAGGTACGCCTATGGGTTATTTGGGCAAATCTGTTACTTGAGGCATGCGTATGAAAACGTCAGTTGCCAAGAAGTATTTTCAATTTGAAAGGGCTTGCCGACTTCCCGCGACACGCCGCTCGACTTCACTCGGCTCTCAGCTTCAACTTACGCAAATGAATCCTCGCAGCTCCGAGATCAGCTTGTACTGAGATGAGCACGCCGCACACTTGAAAGGACGGGCCGGACCTAATCACATGCACGTGTGGATGCATGCGCACACACCAACACATACATATATGTTCACACACAGCATCGGTGAAGTCAACTGTGGCAAGTGAGCATGCTTGCTTGCATGCGTTTTGACTTGCACGCTTTTCGACTTGTGGCGGTGGTGGTGTACCTTTGGGTATATATTTTTTGGTGTCGACCGCAGGTCGGGCGGGGGCTTTGGGCGGAGAAGAATGCAGCTCTGGCTTCTGTGTAACGGCGCTTTTCTGGTGCTCCTTGAAAACTTTGTGAGCGGCTTGACCCGAGACCACGCCTGCGGAGACCATTCATTCAAAAAACAGACAGAAATGTCCGACGCCCCCCGGCAGTGGCATGCGCGCATACTCGTGATGATGGGGGCGCAGTCCGACAGGGGAGGCGACGGCACCACTGCGGTGCGGTTGGCCACACGGACGGTAACGAAGCCGCTGGACGAGCCGCCAGGACAGAAGTGCAGCTTCAGCTTCGTAGCGCCTCCTGTGGGAGATTGCGCAGGACATCACATCAGATGGTCACCTTTGCTGAGGAAGTTCCCATGGCAACTGATGCTCGACACCCCACTGGTGGGCTTTTGTATCAAAGGTTGATCCCGGTGGAACGCCTTAGGTCAGCTCCAATCGGGATATCACTTGTGAATTGAAAATCAACTTTGTAAAAAAAGGGACCATTTAATTTATTTTTTCAAAATTCTGACACAAACTGAAAAGAATGCTATTCAAATTCAGCATTTTTCAGAAAGGCTAAAGAATACACACTGTCATCTGCCTGCATGTGTTTCTCCACCGTTTGTCTTTGGAAAAAAAAAATGTGATTGTTTTTGATTGCCAGTTGAAAATGGAAAGCTCAAACGCCACGCGGGTGAGCTGAGGACTTTGTTCCAAGAGAGGACAAACCCGAGTGGCGTGATGTGACTGACCTCCAGGCGGTAGGTAGACGCGGCGACTATTCACCGAGAAGCCGAGACAAGTGCCTGACGACTGGAGATAACGACAGAACGAGAAGACAAAAAGTAAGTCAAAGTGATCTTATTGATCGTGGCTGATGACAGCAACAGGCGTTACCTCCTGCGTATCCCAGGTGTCGACCGGCAGCACGGGAATGTACGTCGTATTCACCGGCGGGTCCTCCTTGTCATCTTCAACCCAAAGGAAACATGAACACACGTTTTTATATCGACGACTTCATGATTACAATGATTTTCAACTCCTTTGAAAGGTTCACCTTCATCGTGCATCGACTCCTCTTCCTCCAACTCCATCTCCACGTCAGCACTGGCGGCCATCCACACACACCGAGACCTCCACCGATGACAGGGGAAATTAAGGCTGGGGAAAAAAACGAACAACTAAGTCACATAAGTTGATCACAAAAAAAAGGTCGACTAGACTTTCCCCCGAAGCTTCACTGGCACAAAATCCATTCGATTCATCGATGGAATAATTCATATGATCAGCCATTCCAAAAAGATTGGATAGTGAAGGCCGGATTGATAATACCGCCATTGATGTATTCAAACATGTCCAACTGAATGGCGAAAACTGATTTGACATGGAAATAACTGATTTACGAGCTCGGTCACGGTTCGAATTAAACTCGTAAATCAAGGCAACAGACTAATCTCACGTATTGTAGTCTCTCGTTTGCACTGTGAAACATCAATTTTTTTTTAAAAGGATTGCTATTAGGACAGCAAGTGCTAATCATTCCTAGTTGCTGCTTTTGGATTACTACAGCATTCCAAAACACTTCTTTTAACAAATCAACGGCGAAGAACAGGAAACAAAAACAATAATAATAACAATAAAAAAAATTTTAAAAAACGAGGATGGTCTTGTAGCGAATTAAGTTGTGAGGGCAAAATGACATCAAGTTGGTCACAAGAGTGTCTTTCAAACATTGTCCATAAGTTCTTGACTAATGCTTACTGTGTTACTTTGCGAATGATTTGATGTAAGTTGAGCGGCTGGCGTGTTGCCATGTCTGGGGACGCTCCCACGCTGCCCCCCCCTCACCCCAAGCCACCGATGCTAAAATGCTAACGTGCTAGCGCGGCAGCTAAATTCCACCAATGCTGTCAATCCTACAAAACAAGCGTTTCCTCAACAGTTACACGAATATTCTCTTACCTTTTATGTACCTTTCCAGTTTCCCTAAAACACTTATTGGAGTGAAATTGTAAGCACAAAATGGAGCCTTTTCCACAACAAAAGCAAGAAAGAGCTCTTTAACTAGTTGCTAGCAGTTAGCAGCAGACACGCTGCGTGTGTGTGATATGGCCACTGGCTGTCGTGTAGCCTTCCGCCAATCATGCCTCACGCTGCACGGCGGAGGGATCTTCTTCGCTTTGGAGGCTATGCTAACAGTTGTTCACCATGCAGTGTACTCTCAATTGATCCTCCACATGAAACCAAAATTTTAAACCGATTAAAAGAATGGCTATCATATAGTTTATACTGTTACTTGTACAAGTGGTGAAAGGTGTGCGTGTGGACGATATCATCGTCTAAAGTCGCATTGTGGTAGAGGTCGGTCCAATTTACGTGATTAGCATCGACGTAAATAAATATTTATAACGTCTCGTACTAAGTGCCTGTGTAGACCTTATTCTTGTGTGTTATTATTAATTTAAGTAACCAAAGTGTAATCATGAACAAAACAAATATATATACTCGTGTAATTTCATACGCGTTATTATGAATGCCGCTTGTCGTGTATCCTTCCGCCCCGCTCCCGACCTCACTGTCCGGCGGAGGGACGTTATTAGCTTTGGATGCTATGCTAACAGTTGCTCACCAGTCGATTCTGAATAAATATCATCCCGCTGTGAACAAACTATGTCTTCAACAGATACTCCCGATTAAAACAATTACGTATCTGACAAAAACGTGCCGAAAGGTGCGCTTGTGTACAATGTCATTTCGGAATAATGAAGTCCAATTTACGTGATTAGCATTTACGTAAATAACCATATTAATTTCGATTTAAAGTACAACGTGGTTTTGTCTGCCAAAGTAGTCCTTCAATAATATTTAACAATGATTATTATTATCTTTTACACACCAACTCACACTGGTGAGTAACCTGTGTCGTATTACCACAACCTGACTATAATCAGAACCAAAATGCACAAATCTGCTTCTTTATCTTCCTGCAGGCTAATTGAGATTGGGGGTTTTATAGTGAGGCCAAAGTATTCTGAATTCCTTTTCATTATTCAGCATCAAAGATGCATAATATAAAGAATGTGAACCTCACACTCCACACCTGATGTTAATCTTTTCAACAGGAGCAAACAATGTGTAACTTACTTTAGCAAATGCTAACGATTATTAAATAGTGTTTTTCTATGAACATTTTGACAGTGAAAAGAATTACAACGTGACGACTTTAAAATGAATGTGGGGTAGCAATCATTTCTAGCACTACTGTTTAAAATAATTTTAAGAATGGCTTATATGTAAACATATGAAACCCACATTAAATCCAGAAAACGCAGTGGTATGACGTCTGAGTAAATGATATATTCAAGATTAAAAACATGAGCATGCTGTACATATACACGAAATGAGATTGCAATGGCTTCAAGTTAGCGTTCCTTTGTTAGAATTTTGCCAACAGAATTTAGCCCATGTGTTTAGAGCTACAGGGAGGAATTTGCTGTAATTACCGGTAAGTGGGGGAATTAAAGATGTTACTTTCACAAGTCTTGGGATTTACTGGGCTGACCTTGGATCTCAAGGGTTGTATTTCATGCCAGTTCATGTGGCAATGTGTGTTGGTATGACGCCCCCCCCCCAAAAAAAAAAACCCATAAATAAAACGTCATTGGATCTGTATCTCCTTTAATTTTGAGGGAAATTCATTGCAGCTTTGAAAACTCAACTTTACCTACAATAAATACAAATATTTATGATACAGTAACTATAAATACAATGAATTCGTAAGAAAGTGAAATAGCATTACTGGATGCTAAAATAATAGCAGTTCCTGTGCGTTTTGGCCTCTGTGGAGCAGTGTGGTGGTGCCGTGCAAGGATGGAGTACTGTATCAATTTAGATTGAGAACAGAAGAAAGTTGCGATTGAAGTCTATTTAACTAGTTTTTCTGAGATTAGGGAGAATTTGTGCCTTTGAGTAGCGTTACCTGGGTGTATGTATTTCAACAACGAATAGTCTTTATTTGAAGGAATATCACTCCGAACTCCATGCTAATTTACCGTTAGCATTCGAATGGGATCCAGTGGACTTTAGCATTAGCGCTAGCGATGTTTTAAAAACGATCCGCGTTTTTTATTTAAATACACAATGTATGTACAGTAAATGTTTTTATTGTATGTGTTTTTTTTACAGTAAGTCATTTCCGTAAAGGCCTCACAAAAATAGAATGCCTTTAAAACCCTTGCGTCTACTTTTATTTTGAAAATATGCATGTGAACGTCAGATGACTTCCTGGTTGCAATTTGCCGACCTTGATGGTCGGGGAACCACTGACCGATTGGTGCTTCAAAAAAAAAAAAAACACCAAATGGACAAACATCGGCAATTAGCTTCACGTTTGGAGTGCAACTCCAAAGTTGAAGGTTTGTTTGTTTGTTTGTTTTTTCATCCTGTTTTTTTTTTTGCCGACGTAGTGAAGGCTAGGTGCTAAGCTAATTCTAAACTGTTAGCAGGAGCTAGCTCCTCCTGCTACGAGGTGTCACCATGAAAGGAAATTCAATTTTGATTTAAAACAATCAAAAGATCTAATCTCGACATGTATTATGCGACGTGACGTCATCGCGTGTCTATAGTTAATTGTGAACACACAGAAATGATTGACCGGCTGCTTAATTCACCTCCCGTTTATCAAGAACCTCTTCAAAAATATTCCTTTCATTCAATTTGTACTGGTAGTTTAGAAAACAGGCTGGAATACTCAAACCTTTTGTGGGTCTGTCTTCCGCAGGGAAGCTACAAAATCCTTTTCACATCTAAAGTAAGGTAACTGCATATATCGTTTATTATTAAGATTCTTTTTTTAAACCTATTGTATGTACAGCTAGACAAATTAGAGTGTATTGCATTTTTGAGATAATTGAACTGGTATAAAAAACGTCAAGCTTTATTTGTGCATGATCAAACATATTTTGAAATCTGAAGAAAAAAGAAGCTTGTTTTCTTTCAAATGGAATAGTCACTGTGTGATAGAGCCCTCCTCATAGTGGTGAAATTAAAGCTACGCTTAAATGGTCCAGCTGCAGCCCACTGTGACAAATTTTGAGGTACAACAAACAAATAAAAAAGGACTTGCTTTGATTCATTTTGCCTAATTCTGAAGTCGAACTTATGTGGTGTGACAGCAGTATGCTTTCACAGAAACATGATCAGTGATCAAAATAGTTGTTGATTACATTGCTGTGTCCTGGGTTTGTTTCAGTGTTGCCGTCAGATGTGCTGAAAGTCATCGTGGGGGAAGACCGTCAGAGGGAGTGGAGCTCCCGGGAGTACTGGGAAGTACCCCAGGCCCTCTGCGTTAAAGAGGAGGAGGAGGAAGACACCGTTGACGAATTTCCCAACCATAGAGACCAAAGCGACTCGGACGAGCGAGCCAACTCCGATCACCGTGATTCGGAAGCGGATGCCGGCAAAAAGCGCTTGAGCTGCTCGCAGTGCCGCCAGAGCTTCGACAACAAGTACCGGCTGGTGCACCACACCAGGACGCACACGGGCGAGCTAATCATCTGCGCCGTGTGCGGCAAAAACTTCTCCAGCAAGAGCAACCTGCGCACGCACATGAGGACACACTCTGGGGAGAAACCCTTCACTTGCTCTGTGTGCGGCAAGGGTTTCTCCGTCAAGAGGTACCTGGTGTCCCACACGAGGACTCACACCGGAGAGAAACCTTACCCCTGCTCCGTTTGCGGCTCGGGCTTCAGCTACCGCATGTCGCTGGTTCTCCACATGAGAACGCACACTGGGGAGAAACCATTCTCCTGCTCCGTTTGCGGCAAACGCTTTTGCCAGAAAGGACAGCTGAGAGCGCATATAAGGACGCACACCGGGGAGAAACCCTTCCCCTGCTCCTTTTGCGGAAAGACTTTTTCTGAGCGCGGACACATGATCTCGCACGTGAGGTCGCACACGGGGGAGAAACCACACCCGTGCTTGCTGTGTGGCAAAACCTTTGCCACCAAGAGGAATGTGACTGTCCATGCCAGGACTCATACCGGCGAGACGCCATTCGGCTGCAGCCTTTGTCACAAGAGATTCCCGCACAAGTATCAGATCACAAGACATAAGTGCACTGACACGCAGTAGCCAAGCCAGAGAGTTCTGGGAAAATCCCATCCCAGAGATCTGGTAAAACTGACAAATGTTTTGTGTGTAATTCCTGGCTTTAATGTTTATTCATTATATACTGTACATTTTCTTAAAATAAATTGGCCAATTAACTGGTTTGGGGAATTTTCTTCTGCCAAATATTGGAATTGGACCGTCAAAGAATCCATATCAGTCAAGCCTAAGTTGCAAGGCAACAAAAATGAAAAAGCCTTCTGGAGAAATATTTGAAGATGCCGATTATTCCAAAATATCAGTCAGCAGCTTCACTTTGACGAAAGAGGTTGCTGTGGTGTAAGCCTTGTTCGTATTCTTGGTGCCATGACATGTAGAACTTACTTTGATATATTTTGACGTTGGCCGGATTGCTACTGTTGGCAGGGTTGTTTGGACTGCGAATTATAAAAAAACCCATCAATAATTAATGAGCCTTAATTGTTCTTAACTGTCAATTGTTCACCCAGTGTGGACGTCAAAATTGCTGTTTCGACCACTTCGGTCATACAGCTCAGTCAAACGTTTGGCTCCAAACAGATTTAGTCCAACATCGATTCACTGAGAGTTTGTGATTTTTTTCATCCTCCATAAAGTGTAAAATATGAATATATTTAAAAGTTCGACGTTATAATACGGTGCATAATTAAAACCCGTAATAACGCGCTCGCTGGTGGATTTTGGAAGTACGTCGCTAGCGTCCTTCCGTGTGCCAAATTCCCTTTGACGCGCGAAGAAGAAGAAGAGAAACAATATGGCGCCCGTCACAGGAGAAATACGTTCATTGTTTTTGTAAAAAAAAAAAAAAAAAAAGAACAATT